CTTTTTAATTCTCAAACTCAGTAATTTCTATTGTTCTACCTTCAAGTTTGCTGGTTCTACCTTCTGACTGCTCAAATCTGCCTTCTAGTGAGGTTTCTATTTCCGTTATTGTCTCCAGAATTTCTTTTTGTTCTCTTTTTAGGTTTTCTCATTGTTTTTACTTATATATCATTTTCTTGACTTTCTCCACATTTTTCTTTAGTTCTTTGAGTATCTTTATGACAGTTATTTTAAAGTCATTGTTTATTAGTTCTGTCTCCAGGTCTTTTTCAGAGACAGCTTTTGTTTATTTATTCAATTCTCTTGAATGGGCTATACTTTTCTCTTTCTTTGTAGGCCTTGTGATTTTTTTTTTAATTGAGAACTGGAAATTTAAATTCAATAATTCAAATGGTAACTCTGGAAATCAGATTCTCCCAATTCCCTAAACGTAAGGTTTTCTCAGGTTTTTTTCTGAGCTTGTACCTTTCACTGGGCATACACAGTCACTTTCTAATTTATTTTGATAAGCAGTGGCTTTTGAATTTCATAGACTTTAATGTCTGGCTCACAAATGGGGAAAAGAAAAAAATGAAAGGAGAGCAAAGGGCACTAACGTTTCAAATCCCCTAGAAGTCATTTCAGCCTCAGCTTGGGGAACATTTAACAATGGAGAGAGGGGAAAAACCATGGCTGCTCATCTCTTTGTCTGCACCTCTGAGATCAGCAGCAGCGATCAGTGATCAGAGCACAGATCTCTGGTATTTGGACAGCATCCTCTTTACCCATCCTGACTCCCACAAACTGTGTGCAGGCTTCTCCTATACTATGTACTTGGCTGCCTACCTACCATGGGGTTGGCGACAAGGGGAAGGACTAAAATTAACCAAAATGTACCATCCATGTCTTCCTCTGAAAGTTATAATTCTTTGGTAGTTTTCAGCGTTCCAAAATAGTTACATCCAGCAGATTCTTCCAATACAATTGTTGTAGATGCTCATATTCCCGGTGCTTCCTATTCCACTATGCTTCCAGCATCACCTCTCTGTTGAGATTGGTCTGATGTTTTTCTCCTGAGTAGCAGGGGGCACGGGTTTTTAGGAGGCAGATCACTGAGGTAAAGTGCCATCTTCATCACATTGCAAGAGTTCATACCATTAATATAATTTATGACTGTTGGTGTTGACCTTGATCATATGGCTGAGTTAATGCTTGTCAGGCTTCTCCACCGGGAAGTATTCATATCCATCTTCCTCCTTTCCATACTCTTAAAAAAGGAATTCACTATGGTCTCAGTGAGAATAAGACTTATTGGGGTGATCATTTCATAAGTTATATAAATGTCTAATTTCTATGTTGCATACCTAAAACAAATATAATGTATATCAATTGTAATGGAAAATAAATAAATGACTATAAAGAAATTCACTATGTGCACCCCTATACTTAAGGAGTGGGGGAATTAAGCTCCCATATTTTTCATAATTTTTATTCCTAAGAACAAGCTTAGGACAAAATGAGGAAGGCAGAGAATTATTATGCTTTCCCAACCCCGTTTCACAGATGGGTAAAAGATCTGAAGTTCATGAAGATCAAGTGACTTGTCTCTGGTCATGACAGAAAGTAGCAGAACCATATGAGGAATTATGCATGCTCTCAAGTGCTTTCATCAGGAAACAGATTTCTCAGCCAGCTGTAATCAAGACTCTAGGCTTTCCTTAGTTTTCTATCTCTTTACATTTCGCCCACTTCTTAGTTTTGTAGTTCTCACTCTGTTGTAGTTCAGGAACTCTTCCTTATTCTTTGATCATGGTCTTCTCTACTTCCTTCTCCTTTAGAATTTTTTTAAAATATACACTTGTTGTTTTCCTCAAAATCAGAGCAGGCAGACAACTCTAGTGGGGGTGGGGTGTAGGGAGTAGAGGGATTGAGCAAAAATGAAAAAAAAAAAAGAGGTGGAAGAGGGCACAGAGGGTACAAATGGTGACGGAAAAAATAAAATGAAATAAATTTTTTAAAAAGTTAGTTATAAAAATAATCAGACAGTTGTGTTCACAGTTTATGTGCATATCTACGTAACCATCCCAATTTAATAACAATCTTTTAAGGAAAATGGAACTATACTTACATCAGTGGATCTCAAAAAATCCATGATCTATTCCTGGCTGGCTTTGTACTTTCATCTGAGTTGCCTTGACGTCAGTTGTACAATTCCTTTCATGAATTTAAATGTCTCAAGAGCATTCTAACTGATCAATAAACCCTTTCTAGACCATTTTTATCCCCATTTCTATCTTCAATGACCACAATATTCTCTGAAACATTATGATTAGATGACTTTTACATTTGTCTCTCAAAACAAGGAATTTCTTCAGACAAAATGGTCCCTGAGAAAGGGAAATAAAGATGAGATAAAGCTGAAATAGGTTCAACAACCTATTTTAGAGTATTTGTAGTTTTAGATTATGGATAATCAGTTAACAAACCTTTCACTGATTGTGTTCCTCCTCAATATAGTACTTCTTTTTTAAATTTATTTAATGAGAAAATTAAACAGTACTTGAATATAGGAATGTATCCTTATATTTCACTGATGACTTGGCCTTCCTAAACACTTCTGGTATAGGCCAGGCAGTCACAAGTTGAGGCCCTGAAGGGAACATGGAGATATTATGAACTCTATTTTAATGTTTTTATATAGAATAAAGAGCTGAAGAAGTATGTATATATATTTTATGGGGTCTCCTACTTCAGATACAGCCTCTGTGGTACAAATTAGAGAGAACATTGTGTTTGTTTCTGTATGTTGTCCCAGTATATGTGAATCATATGAGCACGTAGAATGTATGTGTGTGTTTATATGAGGTGGTTGGGAGGCAGACAAGATTAATCTTCCTAATTTAATAAAGGTCTATAAAGGAAAAGGAAAATGTACTTACATCAGGGGATCTCAAAACCATCCATGCTCTATTCTTGCCTTGGTTTGTACTTTTGTCTAAGTTGCTTTGACTTAAAAGTCATGTAATAGTTACTCTTTAATTTCAAGAACACAGTACTGAATTTTCTTGATCCTTGTCTTTATGACAAATATAACTGATTTATGTCAATGAAATTCAACAAGAATAAAAACTCTTTTCATTGAATTATGTAATGAGTAAAACCCACACAGTTGCTTAGAAAGACACTGTTTTAGTGTATATGTCTTATAAGCAGACAATTAAAAAAGTGCAAAGCTGAATGATTGAACTTCATTTTGTTGCTTAAACGATAGATTATCGCCCTGGCCAGTTTGGCTCAGCGGTTAGAGTGTCGGCCTGCGGTCCGGAGAGACCCGGGTTCGGTTCCCGCTAAGGGCACGTACTTCGGTTGCAGTTTGTCCCCGGCCCTGGTTGGTCGTGAGGGTGGCAGCCACTCGATGTGTCCCTTCACGTCGATGTTTCTCTCTCTCTCTCCCTTCCTCTCTCTCTCTCCCACTCTATCTGTACAAAAAAAAAAACAAAAAACGATAGATTATGAGTCCTGGGTTCAATTTTAAAAACTGCTAAGGCATAAACAAAATATTAAGAAACTACATTTACATTTAACAATTCAATGGATCACAATTCATGCATTGTTGGGATGGATCATATTTGATATTTACTTAAAAGGTAATAGCAAAAGATTTCACATTACTAGATAGAACTGTTCAATTCAGTGTATTGACAGCTACCCGATTATGAGCCAGATGCTTCTAGGGATTACATTAAACAACTGTGACTGCTGTCCTCAACCAATAGATTCCTTCCCATCTGCATCCCCTATGCAGGAGAGGTAAAATTCATACATTTTAAAAGTCTAGTAATCAAGATAATAGTATTAGAAAAAACAACAGTTATATATACTATTTATTCTAGTTGCTTGGCTATTTTGGTCTCTTACTATATGAAATATCAACTTTATCATAGTACATAAAAAATTTGACTGTATATATGTGTGTATATATATCCATATTCATTCATCTACATAGTTTTTTATTGTAAAATTAAAACATGTTTACTGTAGAAAGAAAAGCAAACAATATAAAGATAAGACAAAATGTGTTATTCAATCACCCAGAGATAACTACATTTAACATATTGATATATATCCTTTGCATATGTATGTATTTCTCTATCATCTTTATATCTATTTTTTATCTATCATCTATAAAATAAAAAATGCTATGATATAGTTTTCAAATCCTTTTCATCTATATAGCACGATTACACAGATCTATATCTTGAAGCAGATATTCTTTAATGAACTCCTCATTCAGTTTTTGGATCAGTCTCTCAGCTTCAACTTAAGAGTCAGGAAGGGTAACTGGGTCAAGAAGCCTAGAGGCAGAATCCATGCAAAGTAGGCGAGGGGGTAGGAAAGAGGCCCAGCCTGGAAGGTCCTCCCTTTGGGAGAGAGGAGTATGTGAGCACCTCTTTCTACTCTCCCCCCTCCTCACAACTTTTTCACACCGACTTTGTAGAAGTTGCCCTAGCACTGTCATAAGAAATATTTCTGGCAAAGTAACTGATTCTTTCTAGTAGCATATGGAAAAGAGGGCGCTGACTCTCTTAGAGTCAGGGTGATCGGGCTGAATGAAAAGGGAGGTTTGTTCTGCCTAATGGTAAACTTGAGGAAATTTGACCGAGGCTCTAGTCCGTAGACAGTGGCAACAAAATCCCTGAGAGGAGGTGGTCTGTGCCTTAGCACTCTGAAGCTGTTCTGAGAGTCACCTCCGAGATCTTTTCGGGACTGCTCGGAGGTGGGCAACTTGGGATTTCAGGAGGGATTTTTTATTGCCTTTTAAAAGACTTTGAGAGAAGGTTATCTCAGAAGGAACCCACTTTCTTCTGCTCCCCTTTCCATCTCAGCCATAGACTAAGCCACAGAGGTTATATAAACATACGCAATCATTAAATCATTTTGGTCTATGTTATTGAAAATATTAATGATATTATAAGAAAGAATATCACCTTTCTAATTAATTACACCTACTTCTCTTGCAGAAATAGATGACAAGAGGGTGACCAACACACAAGCAGAAGTAAGTTTTCTTATAATTTGTATAAATAGGTGTTCAAATCAATCAAAAACACAATTATTTGATTTTATGTGATGTAAAATATGATATCAATATAACTGTGACGTAAAAGCTATTTTGTTTGCTTTTCCTGACTGAACATACAGTAAAATGTGCCATTAAGTCTCTGGCTATAGGTTTCCTTAATTCTTCTATGAAATGCGAACCCTTGAAAAAGTTCTAAAATAAACCATTGCTTTTAGTGGCAAGATATGGTATTGATAATTTCAATTTAGTGACTGCTGGCATAAGATCATCACAGGTTGGGGACAGCCAATGTTGGAATTCAGGAGTAAAAAGATGGGGGACAGGCACCTCTTAAAGGTTCTGGTGTATGAAGGCAAGAGCAAATCACAAGGCCAGAGTCTCCAAATACACATGTAGGAGCTCAGACAGAGAATAAGAGCCTAGAGAAGCTAGGGGAGCTGGTGAGACAGAATATGCAGGTGCAAGGAAGTGAGTAAACTTGCACCCAGAAATGGACCCAATATTTAATAAGTTGCGTGCAGACTTAGTAGTCAATTTCCATAAGGCTGCACAGGTAGGCATAAAGTAAATACTCAGAAAATGTAGAAAGAACAAAATATTAAAACACTAAAAATGTAATGAGGTGAGGCCCGGCTGGTGCAGCTCAGTGGTTGAGCGTTGACCCCATGCACCAAGAGGTCGCCGGTTCGATTCCCAGTCAGGGCACATGCCCAGGTTGTGGCCTTGATCCCCAGTGAGGGGCATGCAGGAGGCAGCCAATAGATATTCTCTCTCATCGATGTTTCTATCTCTCTCTCCCTCTTCCTTTCTCTCTCTCTCAAATCAATAAAGAATAGAAAAACTTTAAAAAATGTAATGAGGTGATATATGTAAAGATGTTTTGGAAACTGAACTCTCACATAAATATTGTTTTTATTAATTAAGTTTTACTACTGCTACAAAACCGATTTTTCTAAAGAGTTAATTTTCTACTTGACCTTTGACTCTATGTGTGAAAATAAATAGATAAGAAATCCTGGAAGAGATTGCTTTTCAAAACCAACTAGGTACTACTGAATATAGTGGAGGTACACAGAATGTCAGTCATGCACGTGTACACTAAGGTAGGCTGCCCTGCCTGCACCTCTGCATATGGACTGCCACCAAAGCATTCTATTCTGGAGGAATTGGCTTGTAGCATTTGTTTGGTTGATATGAATTTGGCAATTATTTGTCTGAATATTTTTACTTTTTAAAAATAATACTAGTATTTATTTAAGAATCACTTAATTTGCTAAACTATTATGTTAAAACATTATTATTTTCAATTCTTTTCTCTCTTTTTCTAATGTTTTCATTGATTTTTTTTTAGAGAGAGGAAGGGAGAGAGAGAAACATTGACATGAGAGAGAAACATTGATTGGCTGCCTCCCACATGCCCCCTACTGGAGACTAAGCTCACAACCCAGGCATGTGCCCTGACCGGGAATTGAACTGGGACCTCTCAGTCCATGGGACAATGCTCAATCTATTGAGCCACACTGGCTGGGCTTTTTTCATTTATTTTCATTAGATTTTAGTTTCAGTATATTTCTATGTCTTATATTTCTATTTAAATATATCTTGCAGTGACCAAATACAATTCTTAAAAATTTAATTAAATTAACTAAATTTATTATTTAATAATTATTTTATTAATCTGATAAATTAAATTTATTGATTCCTATATAATTTTGTTAACCAATACATTTTTTAAAACTTTTCTTTTATATCTTTATTGATGAGAGTATTGCAGATGTGCCTCCCTCCCCTTTTTTCCCTTGTTCCCCTCCACCTGGTTCCCACCCTGCCCCCGCCTTCGCCACCCTCTTGTCTGAGTCCGTGGGCAATGCATATATGCATATACGTTTTCCATCAGGTAAATATCAACATCGTGATGATACTTTAAGAACCACTAAGCTTTAGTATGTACCAGGAAAGATGCTTCAATTTCTATTTGCAACTTTGTAAAACAGTTTCTAGGTTTTTTTTTTTTTTAAGACTGTACATCATGTTTTTGTCTAATATACATGATACGTCTAGAATAACTCCCTGAAAGTGTCTTGTAACTATTTATACTTGAATTTTTCAAAGCAAAAATAATTGCTCCAGACACTAAAGCCCCTACTTTTGACATATTGAAATAAATATCGACACACTATTAAAACAGAGTCTTTGACATAATCTGATTTGAGCATAGACCACATATATATTATTATAATAAATAATATTATACATACACACACACATGCAGCATGAGTATGAACTCTACAGGTCCACTTATATGAAGATTTTCTTCAATAAATGCAGTCAGTCGTTCCAATCCATGGGTTTTGCATGCACAGATTCAACAAACTGCAGATTGAAAACAGTATTTTCTCATTCCCAATCCAGGTTTCCAATTCTAGATTCCCCATCGTGGATCAAAAATAATTTTTTCCACCGTAGCCTGTTTGGATCAGTGGTTAGAGCCATTAGCCCATGGACCAAAGAGTAGCAGGTTAAATTTTGGTCAAGGGTACGTACCTTGGTTGCAGTTTGGTCCCTGACCCTTGTGGGGGCTGTGCAGGAGGCAACCAATTGATGGGTCTCTCTCACATTGATGTTTCTCTCTGTCTCTCTCTTCTTCTTTCCCTCCCTCCAACTCTATCTGAAGATAAATGGAAAAATATCCTTGGGCGAGCATAAAAAATAATAATAATAATAAAATAATAATTTTTTCCTTAAGTGGCTGGTTAAATCTGCTCATGTGAAGGGCTGATTACAGTTAAGTTTTAGGGGAGTCAAGTCAACTGGGTAGGGCCTTGGTGTCCATAGCCCCCACATTGCTCAAGGTTCATCTGAGGGAAAGAAATCCTGACTCGGTGTGTTTAGGTAAGAGTGTCAAATAGCAGTTTTGTTAGAAAAGGATTTATCGTTTGAAAATAGAAAAAAGATTATCTTAACATTGTAAGTCCAAGTAAATGTAGATATTAGATTGAATCTATCAGTTCCCGAGGGTTATGGGTTGGTATTACTACTAAGGAGGCTCATCATTCCAGCAGAGCCATTTGACAATCCGAGGGCCGGGGCAATCACCCCACAGACATAGCTTCGGGAGTATATTTTTTGTCTTGGTGCTTATGCTTTTCTTTCAAATGGAAAAGATTAGTGTAAAAAGCAATTTTAAAACCTCAATGGATGAAGAGTTTTATGATCAAATATACCCATAGCTTCATATATCTTTCAAGACTGTAAGATCATTGAACATGTCTATAATTTCTCATTGATTAGAGTTCTGTTTCATTAGGGGGGAATAAGAAAACTCTTTGAAACATGCCACAGTGTTTATTTCTCTTGCAGGGCTGATGGCACTGTCTTTTTATCCAAATACAAGACTTTCACTTTTTCTTTTTGTCCACAGTCACAGAATGCATCCCCTAAGCAAAGGAAGCAGAGCGTGTACACACCACCTGCCATGAAAGGTACTGTGCAGGTACTGTTTCGGGTTGTTGCCAGCGTTGAATTCATAACTGGCAGGCTGCTTGTTCTCAGGAACCATATGCTTAATAATAACCGAGATCTAGTCTCAGCTCTACAGCTTAGTAACGTGAATTTTAGTAAGATACTCTATCTATTTAAAGCTTGGTTTCATCACGTGGAAAATAGGTGGTTGAAGAAGGGATAAGTGTCTCAGAATCTGTCTGGAAATTCAGATCTTCCAAAATAATGACAAAGGTTTTTCTTTAACCCTTCCTCATAGTTTCCTCGAAGATAGTTTCCCAGAATCTCTAATTACTCCTGCCAGTATTGGCAGATGAGTGTCATTTTTTTCCTTGGGTTCAACAAAGTAGAATTTTGGTCAGATTTAATGTAAAGCATTGCCTCATTGCCTTGTGTTGGGAGCAGCTCTTAGAAACCCAATCAAACAGCTATTAGCGGTACATGTAACAGCTGTTGGAATAACAACTAAGAATGCTAACTCAGATTCTGGCATTTTCCCAGCATTTCCCCCCAAAATTGGAACTGCTAAAAGAACATCTAAGTGTATCAGAATTTTGACCAACATCAATTCCAGGAAAGGCTTCTTTTATTTCTCACACCAAAATGTTCCTGACATAAGGCAGTGTGTCCAACCTAGTAGCTCGTGTTCCAGCCTGGTGGGCCGTTGGCCCAGTGCTTCATCATGTAGTCATCCAGCTCGGCTTCAGCTACAGGAGAAGCCAGCTGAGCATCTTCCCCTGGAGTCTGGAGAGATGTCTAAACTGAGAGTGAAATTTTCCACTCTGTATTCTCTCTAGATTTGGGGCCTTCTCAGGGAGGCGGGATATAAATGGACACATTAAGAGCTACTTTTCAGTAAACTTCCTTCCTTTGCAGCTATAAAACACCATGTTTGCTTGTTCGTAAGACGGCTGTAAATAATCCAATCATCAGCATTGTATTCTGTGGCAGGGCGATTATTGAATCTATCAGGCATTCCTCTCTGAAGATAAATGTATAATTTGGAGATATTTTCTCTATTAGAAGTCATCCTGTACTTTCAAGACATATCAGTTTTGGCATGAATGAGCCACAATGACAGATATATGTTCACTCACGTAATGATTTCCTCTGTTCTATTTTGGTGAGCTTAACTAAATAAAGTAATACTGTTCTCATGTCCTCAGAGAATAATAGTATTATTTTTTAAGAGAAACCTTAAAATCAAGGCCCCAGGGGCTCATGGTTTTCATTATATTTAGTTCTCAATTATAAGAATGTGGGACCCTAACATTTAGGAGATTTAGTTATATTTAATATTTTTACATATAATCTTACTACTATCAAGCATTCCGAGATGGTCATTCAATGATAATTATTTCTGGTCATGAGTTACAGGCTTGAGAAAGCACAATAATCCTTTCAAGAGACTATGATAGTGTTATTACAAGCCACTTAGATAAACTCATTTATAACTAGTAAATACCAAGGTAAGTATCCTGCTTCTGATAAAAGAAAAGGGAAAGCTAAATCCACATGTTTTATTCTGTTTACCTGTCTCTAAGAACTAGAAATAAATATTTCAAGACAAAATTAAGCAATGGCAACATATGGCACATTGTGAGCACATTAGGCAGCTTCAATTGTAAGCAAGATGAATTAGCAAAGGAAATATTATTGAGATGCTAAATGCAATAATACAATTGCTCTGAAATGTATAATTCTTCAAACTGCATTGGAACATGCAATTATTGAGTGTAAAAAGCATTTTCTGGGAGAGCAAAGCAGTAACAGATATAGTTTAAGAGTTCTGAAAAACAAATCACTCTGACGAAAAGGCCAACTGGACTTCATGAAGAACTCAGAGAGTAAACTGCTTAGTAAAACAAAACAAAAACAAATTAGCAAGGATCCTTTATTCTCCTCCCTTATTAGGTTATGAAGAGTTACCGAATGGCAGGAAGAGAGATGCTACATCCACCCATGCCATTTCAAGTAATGCATTGACAGGCTAGTCTCCTATCTCTTGCATTCATTTATTTGTCCTTCTTTTAATTGCTGTGGTACTTATGGCTCCACCAGGTTTCAGGAAACAGACTGGTTACCTCCTACAAGGAGAGTATCATATGAAGGTACAGGGGGAAGAAATAGAGCAGAGGAGACCATTTTAACAGGCACACTCCAGAACTGATATGCTGATGACTCCCACATTTATATTTGCAGCCCTAACATATCTCCTGAATGGACCTCAGATCCCCCTTTCCAACTAGCTACCGAATTTCTTCAAGTGAATGTTATTAAGTTTCTCAAATTTAATGTGTCCAAAACCAAACTCATTGGCTCTTTTTTTTTTTTTTTTTTTTTTTTTTTCATCTCAATACATTGTATTCAGCTGTTGAGAACAAAAATCTTTGTGTAATCCTTGACTTCTCTCCCTTACCCAATCCATTGGCTACACTTAGCTCTAATTTCAAAATGCATTTCTTACCTGACTGCTTTTGATACTTTCCACTGCATCTACGTTGTGCAAGCCACCTTGCCTGAGCTTAAGGAGTAGCCTTGTTACTGGTCCCCCTGATTTTGCTCTTGTCCCTCCACAATCTCCACATAGAAACCCAAGTAACTCCTCTAACTTACAAATGTGATCATGCCATCCTCTTGCTCAAAATCTTCAGTGGCTTCCTGTTAAATTCAGAATAAAATTAAAACTTTAACCATGACTAATTAACCAAGGCGTATAAGTCACTGAATGAGTTGCACGGGCCTCCCTCTTCGACCTCATCTTTCACACGGCCCCTTGTTCACCGTGTCCAATATATGGGCTTTTTTTGCTGTTCTTAAACATGCCCAACAGACTTGAATTGCAAAGCATTTATACTTCCCATTTTCAATTCCTGGACTGCTATTACCCAGTGGCCTCAGAGGTGGCTCAGCTAACGTTAACTTCTCAGAGAGGCCTTCCTCTCCTGGTAATTGCCCCTTCTACCATCACTATCTATGTCCTTACATACTGCCTTATTTTTTTCCATAGCACTCAATATGATGTACCTAGAATGAGGTGTCTGTGACAACCGTTTTGCTCATTTGAGTATTCCCAGGGCCTAGAAGAGTGCTGGGCACATTATAGGTGCTCAACAGATACTTGTTGAATAAATGAACTGTAATAAACCTGGGCATCCAGCCACACTGCTGGATCAGAAGCAGGTATCTCTTGAGCTTTGTTCTACTAATTGTCTTACCTGTGACTCTGCTTCTGTTTCTCTTTGCTCTCTCTCTGGCTGATTCTCCCTTAACTTTTGTGTTTCTACTTATCTATATGCTTTTGTTTTTTCTGGTATATTTTTTCCCACTCCTCTCCCCTCTGGTCAAAGATAAAATCTGATTTGGTAAATTAGTTACTGTCCAAAATGATGCAACACTGGGCTGGATTCTTACAAAAGATCATCTCACAGACCACTGGAATAATTAGGGGGTTGCCTTTGGCTAGGGACTGGTTCCTGGCCAATGTGACAGTGTCATATTACACAGCCAGCATATTTACTCCTAGAAAATTACAATAGACTGAATATTCAGTCTGGCCATCTCTCTATTCATAAATTTGTAAGCACACAAAGTTTTCAGGGAGCTTAGGTTTAACTAGTGCAACTATTTAGTAATGACTGAATATTTTCACTGCATTTAACCTCAGGGTATTAAATTGGTTATGTTCTCTTGAAGGTTCTAATATATTAGGCCTGGGGTGGAGCCACATCATCAAAAGTTTAAAGTGATTCTGCAGCAACACATCTAAAAATTTACCAGACTCCTATATCCAAGCACCTACCTAATATGCCTTTCTTGTATCATTGGTAGATATCTCATGGAGATCAAAGAGATCATAAGATCAAAATTAACACCTTTAAAACTGACCTTTTGATCTTCTTCACAACAAATTGATTTGTCCTCCACTTGTTCCCCTTCTCAGGAAGTGGAATTTTTGTCTTCCTAGGTATATTTCTGAGTTCTGGGAGTTTCCAGTAACCTTCTCCAGGGTCTTATGGTTTGCACCCCATTAGTATCTCTTCTCCTTTCCTGTTCTTTTATCCCCAAGGTGGCCGCCATATTTCAAGTCGCAATCATTTCTTTGTCAGGATGTAATTGGTTACTCTCCACCTAGTCTTTCTCTTTTTGCCTCCCATTCATTTTCTACACTGTAGTCAAGGTGAACTTTTCTTTTAATACTCACTCAAAGACTTTTTTAGAGAGAGAAAGGATGAGAGAGAGAGAGAGAAAAATATTGATGTAGGAGAGAAACATTGATTGGTTGCATCCTTGCACACTCTGGGTATCAAACTCGCAACCTACGTATGTGCTCTGACCAGGAATTGAAACCACAACCTTTTGGAACACGGGACGATGCTCCAATCATCTGAGCCACCTGGCTAGGACCAAAGTGAACATTTTTTTTTTTAAATTAAAAAAAGTTTTTTTTTATCCTCACTCAAGGACATTTTTGCATTTATCTTCAGGTAGAGTAAGAAGGACAGAGGGAGGAAGAGAGAGAAAAACATTAAGTGGTTGCCATCCACATGACCCCAACCATGGCCAGGGCCAAACTGCAACTGAGGTACGTGCCCTTAACGGGAACTGAACTCAGGACTCTCTGGTCCGCGGGCTGATGCTCTAACCGCTGAACCAAACCGGCCAGGGCCCAAAGTGAACTTTTAACACAAAAAATACTTATGCTACTTTCCCATTAAAACTCTTCAATAGCTCCCATCGCCATTAGATACCTTCCCTGTTCAAGAGCAGACTTTTCAAAGCTTACTGGCCCGCTTCACCCACTAGGTCGCAGCTAGGTGGGCATTTTGCCAGCAGCTGGATGCACGAAGCTCTTTGGTGATTCATTTCTCCTCTCACCTTGAATGCTCATCCTTGTCTACTTCTTGTCACTATCCTTCATTTGGCAAACTCCTACTCAGTTCCCAAAAGGAGCTTTCCTTAACCCTCTATTCTAAATTCT